GACATGCCAGTTTGTCCATTTGACATGTCAGATTATCATTTGACTTGCTATTTGACATGTCAGGTTGTCCATTTGACATGTCAGATTATCATTTGATTTGCTATTTGGCATGCCAGGTTGTCTATTTGACATGTCAGATTGTCATTTGACATGCCAGTCTGTCCATTTGACATGTCAGATTATCATTTGACTTGCTATTTGACATGTCAGATTATCATTTGATTTGCTATTTGGCATGCCAGGTTGTCCATTTGACATGTCAGATTATCATTTGACTTGCTATTTGACATGTCAGGTTGTCCATTTGACATCTTTTGGCATGCCAGGTTGTCCATTTGACATGTCAGATTATCATTTGACTTGCTATTTGGCATGCCAGGTTGTCTATTTGACATTTTAGATTATTCATTTGACATGTCAGTTTATCTCTTTGACATATCATTTTATTGCAGTCTGCAGCTGTAATGGAAGTGAGTATCTTGAATCCCACAGTGACTGACCTGACATTTGATGTCATAATTGATGGTGATGGTTTGAATGGTGATGATACGATAACACTCACACCAGGTCAGAGAGCAATGTATCAGTTGACCTATGCACCTGCTATAGTTGGTGAATTCACTGGAAGGTCAGTTTTCTACTTAATTCTAATATATTCTTACATTTATCAATCCATACTCCCGATAAGTTGTCACAGTGTTTGTATATTGCTTTCTTGCTATAATTTGTTTGTTAATATGTTGATGAGTGTAGTACCAAATTCCTGTAAAATGGAAGCATTTGGCCAGCAATGCCAACTAAAACTAAATAACTATGTTATGGTTGACCTTGTATTCTTCACTGCCTAGCTGATCCTTCATCTCAACTTGAAATCATTTAAAACATTCATGTTATGCTACATACAGACTTGGTATCTCAATATTAAGTCTGTATTTGGTCAAGTCTTGTTTAGAGTTTATTCTCGCCATCCTGTTCTAACTTTTCATTTATTTCAGTTTAATATTCCAAAATGAGAATGTTGGTGAATTTTGGTATGACTTGCGTCTGATAGCGGAAACACCATCGCCAGTGATATTGCCACACTTAGAATGTGAATTAGGAAAATGGACACGGCAGTATATCAAACTGTCCAATCCCACTGAAGAAACCTTACAGCTAAGACCAACTAATACTAACATGAATAACTTTACACTGGAAATTGATATAGATAAAAGGGTAAGGACTTGTTGAAAATAAATAACATTTATTTTCTATGCCTATTATGTTTGTATCGTCCTTGTGCTTAGACACATACATGTAACGCTTGAGTAGTGGAGAAATAGAAATATAATAATATTATTTTAGATTATATGAGAATTATTTCAAATGAATATTTATTATCTTAGTGAACTAAAAATATATTCACCTGTAGTTTTGATATTTGCTGACTTGATGGTTTATATTATTTTTCAGATTATTCTAGCACCACATTCTAGTGTAGAACTGCCTCTACAGTTCATGCCATCTTGTCTGGGACAAGGCTATCAGTCAGCCAAGATTGCTTTCTCTTGTGATCAGGTAAATATATTTAATCCTCATTTCTGTCTGGGTCTATCATCCATTTCATCTTAGATGCCATTTCAGATAGTGAATTGAATATGAATATGAGTAATTTCATTTTATGATGGTGCACAACGATATGAATCAGGACAATACCGGATTTTATCATCTTACACCCAGGATATCTCCACCATGGACAAACAACTGCAAAGAATCAGGCTGTAATGGGGTTGACATGCCTGCTTTACAATACTGAGACTGTGGGTTCAATCCACAAGTATTAATAAAGAGAATGACTGAAGTGCTTTGTTCTTTACATTACAGCTTGGTGATCTGGTATACTTAGCATCAGGGAGTGGTTTCACTCCACAACCAGTAGATCCAGTTAGTATCAGTGCTTCTATAGGCGGCAACACATCATTAATAATACCATTCCGTAATCCAATGGACCAGACAGTACTTGTAGATGTTATATTATCAGGTAAGATTTCACTTTGTGGTTGGAATTCATAGATGTCTGATTAGTTTTGTCCAGAACTTAGGTAAAGCTTCTGGTCCTACATATGTTTTTAATACGTCTTCAAAGAAATATCATGATTTATCAAAAAATGGGTCATGTACAATATTAACAAGCTTGACTGTGAAAAACCAATTATAGAAATTAATGATATTGTTTAGTTTTATACATTCACCAATAATTTGTTGAAAACACTTTTCTGCACTCCCTCCCCCATTGGTTATATATATAAAATGAACGCTATCATTAGCACTGAATGGTAGCTAACGAACCAGTTTCATTGATTTTGATTTGACATCGATCTGATCTGAGGACACTAATGACAAAGTGAATTTATTTTACAGATAATAAGAATGTCTTAGATCAAACTTATCTAGATAAAAACAATGTGAAGCCAGAATCAGCATTTTGTCTGTTATTGAAGAACTCTACTGGTGTTGCAGTGTCACCTAAATCAACCCTGGACATACCGATAACATTTGCACCCGATAACATGAATCTACATGAAGCATTGATGATTGTCTCTATCAGACCAGAAGACAACTCTAGTTGGGATTACCTGCCACCAACACAACCTGATCAACCAAATGGTAGAAGGTAATGTGATTACCTTATTATTGCATAATATTTACTGGTAAAAAATGGCTTAAATCTACAAATTTAGTAGATATGTATTCATTCACTAACGAATGCGACTTTGGGGGAACCTTGGTTAAAGTCCGTAGGTGCTTGTGTTCGACCGAGCCTGGTTGACGCCAGTCTATCGCATTAAATTGCCATTTGATAGGAAGATGGCCGCACAGCCCTGTCATGTAGTCCCAAACATGAATATGACTTCTGTGGCAAAAATGCACTATGTCAGCACTAGAACTTGCAATTTGCACATACAAAAAAAAATCAGGAGAGACAACAGTGACATTCAATGTCCGGGGTCGGCTGGCACAAAAAAACCTTTAAAAAAAAAGTAGATATGATAGAGATTCACATAATGTTACTATTGCCTTTCATAAAACGTGATTTAATTGTTTATCTATTGTAATTTTACAGAGATACTGACAGACGTTCACCAAGCGGTGGTCTCAAAGATATTCGATGGTTATATCCAATTAATGGTATCCCAGAGTCACATCCCGTAACTGATGCAACATACAGTGCTGTTGTTGAGTGTCAGACACGTAGTCGCATAGAAGAAAGACTAGAAGCTACACTCATGGGTGCTGTACCTAGCTCAGCTAGTGGATATGAAAAGGTTGTGTCAACTAGAGCAGTCACTCCCAAAGATGAGACTCATACACCCAGCACTAGTGATGGTGTGGTAGTTGGAGAAGGTATGTTTGTTGTATTGAAGCCTGATGGTATCGGCTGTATTTCTGTAGTGGTTCTTAGAATACAAATTAGACAACCATTTAGATTCAACTCTTGAATTATGACTTAATACTATTATTACCTGAAACCCAATATGGAATAATCTAGGATACAACCATTTGCCATCGGTAACATAATTTATGCTTGAGGTTGATCTTCGATTTTGCTAAAATCATTTCTTGGTCAAGAACTCAACTAGTTATAGATAGTGTCAACGTACACCGGGAAAATTTTGGAAGGTTAGGATGACTGTATCAGTAATTACTAGACTCAACATAGTTAATGTCAATATAATCATTTAATACAAAACTTGTATTTACCATGGTCACCTTTAAAAAAAATCAAATTACCTGACTACTTTAACACACTTTAAACCAATAGTTAATGACAATTTTGACATAAATTTCCATACAGTGGCTTACTTTCAAACAAAAGTAAAAAGAAATGTCAAGGGTGATGATGCTGTACATCAACGTTTACAGCAAATAATGTGTGTGAGGGTACTTTTCACATTTTTTGTATATATCGGGGCATTTAATGGTATAAGCTGTCAATTATATCTTGGAAATACATGTTTAATGTCTTACATCAAGCAATGATCTGACTTGACTGTCTTTAGCCTTTTCACCACCTGACTTTCTCACCCAAATTTTTTTGCACTTTTTTCTTATAATCTTCAATATTTCTGGAAATGAACCCTAATTTTGAAGTCAACAGACAAAATTTGAGTAAATTTTCAGTTTTTCTCCAAAAATTTGGCTATTTTTATTCCAATCCAATAAATTTGTGATGAAAAGAGGGAACTGGTGGTGAAAAGGTTAAAAGCCAACATATTGGAGATCAGTTGAATATTCAATTGTCAAAGTTAATGTTATGGAAAGTGCATATTAGTTTTGTTTCCTATAACATGTGGATTTATTTATTACTCACACATGATACTGCATCTGACACATCTCTCCCTACTCATCTAATATTTGATGATTGTTTCTGACTTATAATTTCTTTATTTCTGTTATACAGGTAACACTGTAACAGAAGAGTTTTCTTATGAGATAATATATGACACAGAGGAAGCCAACGCACAGCTTGGTAACTCTGTAGCTATCAGCTTAGTGCGTAAAATGAGAGATAAATCTACTGGCATTGTCACATTGTTATTCAATGTAGTATTTGCACCGTACAAAGTCATGAAGTAAGTTGAATGTATTCTTGTGATTAACATAGTGGTTGTGTACTACACTGTGCTCCTCAGCACCACATCACATCACATCATACCACATCCACTGTTTTTAATTAATCTTCAATGAAATGCTTGTATTTATATGTCTCTGGTGGTGGTTTCTCACATTTTGGTTTTACTTTCAGCATATTGCTTTATTTGTCTTCTATGTACTCAAAAATTATAATTGACAGTTAATATGTGGAGTGTACATATTTAGTATTTGCTTCTTTAACTTCTCCTGATATATTCTATTTATTCATTCGAGTTTTTATTATGTGTGTGTGTGTATAAATATATATATAGAGGTATATTGCGTATATATATATTTCTATCATATATCTATTTATTCATTACAAATTAATAGTACGATGTACAGCTACTTTTTGCCCTATAATTTATTTATTTAAATATTTGTTTGAACGGGGAACAGACTGGATTAGCTGCAGCTATTTTCTTTCCCCTATACCTATTTCAAATTATATTTTGTACAATACTCTTAGATTTATATGTGTAACAAATGAAATGAAATGAACACATGTACAAATTTAAATATCAACAATAAATAAAGGTTTCTAATTAGTAGATTACGTATGGGTAGTGTGAATTTCCAGCGTCATTGTTCAGATTATAATGGTTGCCAGATAATAATTGTATTCTTTCTCTTGACAGTTATGATGTGAAGTTACGTATAGTTGCAGCAACCGGCGGTGTGTGGACGTTCCCATTACGATTCATATCAACTGAACCAATAGTAGACGACACTATAACGATAGAGGCAGCGGGTCTTGGCAAGACATCAGCTGTAGGATTCCGACTGACTAGTCAGGCAAGGTGTGTACTTTGTTTTCTCCTAATCAGCTCTGACTGTACAACAGAAGTAGTTTTTACAAAACTGCACATGTTTCTGTTTCTGTTTTATCATTTATTTCATATTAGATTCATACCACATGCACATATTCATACAATTAATCAAGTCTCATCTGAGATAAAAAGTCTGCATTTGTACAATACCGTATTTACTCTATTAGTACTGTAGCAATTGATACTATGTTGCAACAGAGATATATCTGTGGTCACAATAATTCATTTATATACATCTGTCACTGTAACGCCATAAATTTTGCGGTATTTTGCGGGGTACCTTTCTCTTATCATATAAGGAAATGCGAATTCCAAATATGGAATGATTACCTGCATATTATTCAGACAGTATGCTGCACTGCGCGTCGGTCGATACTCCAGCTGTACTGTCTTCGTGCATACTTTGAGGTATTCTCATAATAAACTCATATTATAATGACCCAATTTAAAATCTTTGGTTTATATGTAATATAATTAATGGGTATGATATTTCTTAGTTATAGATGTAACATTTCTTTCAGTCTAACCATATTATTGTTTATTTCTCTGCAGACATCCAATTGCTTTTAATAGTTACTTTGTAGCTGGCAGTGATGTTGAGTTTTCTGTAAGCCCCCAGTCTGGTGAACTGCTACCACTTGGTACAAATGGAACTTTAATTACAATATCATTCACACCCAAAATTTATGGTAAAACGTACATTGGAAAATTAGTTGTACAGGTAAGGATTACATTGTGTACTGTGAAACCATTTATTTTCACTAGCGTTTCAATTCACTATTTTGATGTTTTAAGCAATTTCACTGGGTTTTAAGTGTTATTCTACATGTTCATGTGGATTTAATTTAGCGAATTTCACTTTCCAACGAAAATAGCAAAATTAAAAACGAGTGAAGGAATGGGGATCAGTCATACATAAATTTACAGGGTGCCTTATTTGAGGACACCTAATTTTAAGATCAAAATGTAAAAAAACTGAAATTGTGAAGGAAAGACTATTTTAAACGGCATCAAGGCATTACCATACTTTTAATTCATTCATTGTCATACTACATATATGTAAAGTTTTTCAAAATGATACATTCATTGGAATACATTTCTTGAATCACATACAATGTAGATAAATAAGAATTAAATAATAGTTACTGAATATAGACACAATGTTTAGCACCCTATAAAATAGTGAATCACACTATAAACTGAGAACAGACTTCTCAAGGTAAAGTGAACCAAGTGAGTATTGGTCACCAAATCCGGGAGGAGAATAACACACTGGAGAGGAGCTCTTGTAGCCAAAGTGTTTATTGCTCAACTGCTAGGCCTGGAACTGAGTCTAAATACTCAGGAGATGTTCCATACAATGTATCAATATCATTATGCAAATAACTAAACTAAAGGTCATAGCCTCAAATCATTACACACACATAGTACACCATCTGTTAAACAGTGCCATCAAGTCTAGAATAGAAACCAAGTGTTTCGCTGTGTTGTAAGCCATCTTCCAAACTGATTATCAGAACCACTGCAAGGATTCGTGTTATTCAATTAAAATTCAATTAAAAATGAAAGACAACCGCATTAGGATTATCTTGTGACTGTGTTGCCAGGAATGTTTAAATATTTAATACACAACTATAACAATTGCGTTTGTATTTATGTTTTTAGACTGCTGATATGCAGTGGACATATGACATCAAAGGCATTACACCATCATATGCACCACCTACAGGACAGTCAGAAAGACCAATAGCTGGGCCACATCCTAAACCCAAATATCATCGTAGACCATTAAATTATGTTCGCAATAATCTTCGATTGACAACAACTGCCGTGTCTTCACCTGTGAAAGGAGCCCCAATTTTGAATTCTAAAATGAAACTATAAATACATAACCCGGTGTTTCTTGTATACTGTAAACCGCTGTAATTTCACAACAGATCAATTTTTCATGAATTTAGATATATATTTTTTAAATACAGCTTCTATAAACAGAGAGTCAAACTGATACTTGTCAATCTTCATCAATGTTTTTAGATTTTCAAATCACAAACATTTTTTGAAGATGAAGAAAATTTTATGGTTTCCTGTATACTTTACTTATTATAGTAATGTATGTAAACAAATTGTGAACAAAATAAAGATTTTAAAACAGTTCCTTTCAACAGCTGTCATTCCGTCCCTATCTAGTTCTGTAGACTATTTATGAAGCTGAAAAAATATGTTATTGATTTTTAGAACACTTGTAACATAATATCCGATATACATGTATTATTGATGAGAATAGTATCAGTAACTTTAATGTGAAAATTGTGTTCTATATGATACTATTTGTAAATAATATTTTTTAATTTGATTGTAAAAACATTGCCTCATTTTTAAATACGAAACGATTGCTTCAGCAGAGACTCGTATTGAGAAGAATCGTACCGGTATGTCTGAATGTTTTTTACTTATTTCATTAAGGTTGTAAACAAATGTGTGTAAAGTATGTTGGTTTTGCCATTGTTATCAATAAATATTTTAAGTGAAAGAAACCTTACTCGCAGTGAGATTTTTTTGTTCCTGTTTGAACAAAATTAGAACATAACTTGTATGTTGTGTGTAGGTCTCAAGCTAACACAAACTTACATACAATGTTTTTATTTGCAGCAAGTATTGGGACAGCCAATTTGCAAACTCGCTAGCAAATTGGCTAACTGCTTTGGTTTTGACTGAACGGTTGGCTTTCGAATCTCGCTGGCGCCGTCCTGTGGTCACTCCCACTCTGGGTGAATCTATATAACAGTAAGGGACGGTCGTCATACTTTACAATGTAGTTGGATGGCGATCTCGCTTTCAAAATACCAGGGAAAGTGTTATATTTTCTTTGTGTAATGAGGTGTTCATATACAAGGGATTGTCCACGCAAAAATGATGAATAAAGTCAAATTTTATTAGCGGTTGGTTTAATGTTAACCCAACAAATTGTTTGAATGTGAAAATTTATTTTCTCCCTGATTTCAATCAGTGTTCAAGATGGCTCCCGCCATATAGTAAATATCGGTGGATTAATCGCATTTATCATATTATCACTTGTACGCCCAATACTTCTTGCTGTAAAGGGTGTCTACAAGTGGGAATGCTTAAAGGGGTCAGTGGGAGGTCGTCTAAAAGTGGGAATGCTTACTGGGGTCAGTGAAAGGCTGTCAACAAGTGGGAATGCTTACAGGGGTCAGTGAGAGGTCGTCTACAAGTGGGAATGCTTACTGGGATCAGTGAAAGGCTGTCAACAAGTGGGAATGCTTACAGGGGTCAGTGAGAGGTCGTCTACAAGTGGGAATGCTTACAGGGGTCAGTGAGAGGTCGTCTACAAGTGGGAATGCTTACTGGGGTCAGTGAAAGGCTGTCAACAAGTGGGGATGCTTACAGGGGTCAGTGAGAGGTCGTCTACAAGTGGGAATGCTTACTGGGGTCAGTAAAAGGCTGTCAACAAGTGGGAATGCTTACAGGGGTCAGTGAGAGGTCGTCTACAAGTTGGAATGCTTACTGGGGTCAGTGAAAGGCTGTCAACAAGTGGGAATGCTTATAGGGGTCAGTGAGAGGTCGTCTACAAGTGGGAATGCTTACTTTTCAAGTTAAATTAATGATTACATTGACACGATAACACACCGATGATAAGTATCTTTGTTGGTTCGTTGTTTCATGACAATGACGCATTTCTTAAGTTCATGATGACATACAGATGTTTTATAACACTCATTATGTATAATGTCGAATACATGTATATAGATAGGGAGCTGTATTCTTTAAAACCACAGTTACTAGAAGAATTCTTCTAATAACCGTGTTAAAACATATTGAACCAGATCCGTGCATTATAGTCCCATTATGCTCAACGTATATACCAAGTTTGAACAGAATCTGTCCATATGCGACTGAGATCCGGTTCCGGGTTGGTGAGAAGTTGATATGGCTTGCATGCTTGACTATTTTAGGGGGAACGTCATTATGTCCTACTGCTTTTCATATATTTCATTGATTATATCGCTCTCATTCACAAGTCGAAAATAAAAAGAGTCACGATAATTGCCAGTCAAATATTGAGTAAAGTCGCCCGGACAGTAATGTTATCCGCGAGTTTAGATCCGATATTGGTGAAAAAATGGTTAAACTCTTCAATAATATTTTTTTCACAGAGTAACTGGTGTTTTAGTTGATTTATTTAAAATATTAGTTATCACTTGCCACGTTTTGTTAGTATTGCCATGCGCGTACTTGAAGTTATTTGAATAATAATAACTTTATTATGCAACTTAACCATCTGTGGGTTTAGTAAGGTACAAAATGAGACAAAGACAAATAAAATAAGACAAACTAAAACACTAAAATTAAAATACAATGAAATTCAACAAAAGAAAAGAAATAAAAATTAGAAAATCTCTGAAAAATTAAACAGCAGCAAGGTTCTCCCAGACCACAGTTACATATTTAACTTTAGCGTTTCTTTGCTGACTTGAGGAGTTTAGTCAAAAGGTTTCTATATGTTTTATATTTCGTTTCTTTTTCAAAGTTGCCAGGATTTTTTTTATCTTGGCAAATAATTTGTGTTTGGTTTGGAGTGATTTAATTATACCTTTTGACAACCAAGGTTTAGATAGATGTTTAAATTTTCTTTTATTTAATTTGACCTGCAAATGCTTACACAAAACCGTATAAACTAAGTCATAAAATGTATTATATGCATCATTAGGGTCGGAGTGATCATACACTGGTTGCCAAGATTTTAAGTCCGCAATAAACGCGCTTTGATTGTAACATGGAGGTGAAAAGTTGTTACCTCCATGATTGTAATTAGTATACTCATAGTTCAAGACCGTATTATCTTCTATAAAAGCGTGCTGACAATTTTTAAAATTACAAAAAACAGGATAATGGTCTCTAATATCGGTGTGAATAGTTCCGCATTGTATGAAATGGCCGGATGTATTCGTAAGCACGTGATCAATTGCAGTACTAGAAGTATCAGGGACCCTAGTAGATGTGATAATAAGTGGAAACAATTGTACGAATTGAGAATAGTATTGTAGTGAGTCAGGTGAGTGAGTGACAGGCGGGGAATCAACAGACGTGGCAATGTTCACGTCGCCAAGTATAATAGAATCAATAGCCTTGGCTGTCAACTGGTGTAGACATAGCTCCAAACTGTCAAAATATTCATGATATGGGGTGTTAGGTGTACGGTACTTAACGCCTATGATAATCGTGTTGTTGTTTATGCAGGTTTCCACAAAGATCGATTCACAGTGCATACGGGTAAAAGACAAGGATTCGTGAATGTACAGTGCTCCGCCTTTTGAATTGTCACGCTTACATGTAATTAAATTATAGGACGGTAAATTATACTTAGAACGGTTAGAGTTTGAATTCAGCCATGTTACGACGAGGCCAAGAAAAAGAAAATTATGTTTTACGACACTAAAAAATGTAATAAGTTCGTCAAAATGTTTAGATAAAGATCTGATATTAAAATGAATTAAATTATGCGAGAAATATGAAAAGTTAGAATGTGAATTGAATTGGTCAACTGAGTAAGAATTACAGTTATACTAGTACTTAACGTTGGCATTGTCATTTTGTGTATCCATAATGGTTCATGTTTATGTTTATTACATTGGTTCATGTTCACGTTTATTATATTTACGTGTATTAGCTGTCGGCGGTGGTAACATCAGAAGACGGTTGTCGGATACGCTCAATATCTTTAAGTGATGTTATCCTTAGAGCACTGGTTCCCTCACATCGTCGTACATAAATCTTACTGCCGACTGTCCATATAAACTTCCATTCACATTGTTTTCTGACCACGTTCGCGTTATGAAAGAGGTGTTTGTTGGCAGCTGTTGAGTTCTCGTTAATATAAACGGTATTTGTTGTATTGTGATATATATTCATGTCATTTGTTGATTTATTTTTTTATATATTTTCTTGCGCTGACAAATCGCACAATAATGGGTGCTGGTCGCGGCCTGGTTTTGATAGTAAGCGATGGCTCACGTCAATTTCGTTAGGTGTAAGTTTGATTCCGGCAGAGTCCGCGACTTGCACAGCCAACTTATCTGTATTATCATGCTAGGTGGGTACCGTGGTATTATCATGGAGGTCCATGATTTCATCAACGTGAAAACAAGTTTTGAGTTATAAGCGCCCTCTTGTTGGTATAGCTTCAAGTATGAATGAGCTACGTTTAAGCATAGACCCTCCAGTGGAGGGTCTATGGTTTAAGGCACTTATGGGATCCTTTGCCGTTTTAATAGTAGGACAGGCCATGGATGACAGGAGCCAGTAGCAGGGATAGTAATTCATTTTTAACTGCAGAGATATTGCACTGAAAAAACCACCAGCTGCCCCAAAATAATCACTCAATTTTACATTTATTGTATTTTTTAAATTTTTGTTCTGTTTTACTTATTGATCTAATTTTCTAATTGTTTACTTTAGTTTGTTACTTTTTTTAGCTAGCTGTTGTTTATTTAAAGATTCAAATAAGGATACGAAATCAATAAAGTTATTTACTTTACTTACTTATGTTTTCCAAACCGAAAAAAATATATATATACTCAGCCTTCAGGCTGAAGTATTTAAAATTCATGACATGTTTATTATAAAGCATGTTAAATAACGCTAATCTGGTGCACTCCAGACGTCCAACACCTGTCATCCGGGTACTTAAATACGCCCTCTAGCGGTAGAGTCAGAGCTCCAGGCAAAGAAAGTTGGCTGAGGTGCATTGTGTGCCGATGTTTACAAGTTTGATTATATCAGTAATCACATCGCAATCACAATTTTTAATCATTCCATAGAGTATCAGAAGTTGCATTCCAATCTGTGAGACAGCTTGGCATCACCATTAGCGATCAACAGAGATCATGAGTCGTGTCAGCCATGCATGGATAGCGATGCTACGACAGAATCGTCTTGACAACTTCATCAACGCCTTTCGTAGCCTTGGAGTGGAAAACACAGACGATCTACTGGACGTCTTCAATGATGATCTTCTATCTTTAGGTTTGTATTTGTTGCCAGTTACATCCTTGTGTTGAATTGTGTATGTTTTAATTTTTAGCACAATCATATCCAAATCGTATGCTGAGGTCTGTTTTGTTATCTTCACTAAATCTCAAACGTAAACATTGTAGATCTTGTTTTGAAAGAGACCCGGATGTACGGGGTGCGAGTAGCCAATAAACTGCGTTTCACACGTGAAAGCAGATGTGAATTGAAGGACCTGTTAGATTAATAATAATAACTTTTAGGTACTTTTGCTGTAAATATATTACTAAGAAAAACCTGAATCCTGCTAAAAATGGGTGTTTCAGTTATTAATGAGCAGTGTGTCGACTGAATAATATTAATATACAAATATCTGGAATGAGACCAACAATAGAGAAAACTCTAAACTTCGCACATACAAACCTTTAAATAACACAATTAAATGTGCACCCTACTTAAACATTATGAAAAAATATCAAGATATTAAAACACTAGCCAAACTAAGACTAAGCTTCCGTAGCGTAGAAATTGAAGGTGGGAGAAATACACGTCCTAAAACACCAGCTGATGAAAGAATTTGCAAAATATGTAAAACAACAGAAGACGAAATACATTTCACATTACACTGTCAAATATATACAAATGAAAGACAAGAAGTTTATGAACAATTTAACAGAATATACAATAATTTCTCAACACAGAATTACATCGACAAATTCAAAATGATTTCAAACACGACAGAGCCATCTCTGCTTAGACATGTTATCAGATACTTAAACAATGCTTTTACTAAAAGACTAGCACTAACTAGTAGTTAAGTTGGTGTTTATATACAATATATCAACAACAAAAAAAAAAAAATACTTTATTATTTACAAACCAAAAAAGAATTGTAACTTCTTTACGGTTATAATAAAGGTTATTATTATATTATTATTATTAATATAATAATGAACAAATTTGTTTCATTAAATTTGAGACAAGTTACTGAGTATACTGGTACTACGTTTCACAACATATGTATTTGGAATGAAGTGGTAAAAATCGAGTGGTATACTCCAACTATCTTTATAAACTCCAATTATACCAACTTTATTTTAAGCTAATAACTTTAAAGCACCGGGAACATGTCAATTACTTGTATTTAGTGTTAGCACTGTTTATTATACATCTGTCACCGTAACGCCATAAGTTACAACGTGCCATAATTTTGCAGTATTTTACAAGGTATTTTCATCCTACCATATAAGGAAATGCGAATTTTGCGGTATTTTACGGGGTATTTTCATCCTACCATATAAAGAAATGCGAATTCCAAATATGAAATGATTACGCGCGTAAGCGTCCTCTAATAATAAAAACAAACATGGCTGCCACCAGGGTGTTCTAAACCTTTCGGATTTCGACAAGGAAAAGATGTATAATAAGGTTATTACAAGGATACCTTAAAGTATGCACTCAGACAGTACGCCATCGCATCAACCTACACTGCGTGTTGGTTGATACTCCCGCTGTACTGTTTTCGTGCATACTTTGAGGTATCTTCGTAATAATCTCATAATATTCTCAAGAACCAGTTTTGTCTAACTCTTGTTTTAATATGTTTGAAGTGAATATTTTTTTGAATTCCCTTCTTTGTGCTCAGTATCTTTATCATGCAGAAGATTTATCTAGATGCTTTTTTGTTTGTTTTTCCCACAGGAATGACTAAAATTCAAAGAAATCGGTTTAATCGAATGTGTTCTGAATTGAGAGGTGATGATAAAACAACTGATTCTATTCTACCCAGAGGGATTCTATCACCAACTTCAAATAATAGTACTAGTACTAATTCACAAGATATCCAGTCACCGCACACCTTTCATCAAGGTCAATGTCAGCAGTTGGAGTCTGGTTTGAGTTCATCTGATGTTTGGTCTCCTCCAGCAATTGGGCAAGGGTTACATCGACCAATAGAAACAGGTTTAAGCTCACACAATGTTCTAACTTCCCCGTCCATTCGACAAGACAATCATCAGCCAATGATTTCACCAAATGTCCAGTCTTCTCAAGCCATTGGGCAAAGTTTACATCGATCAATAGAATCAAATTTAAGTTCACACGATGTTCTAACTTCCCCATCCATTCGACAAGACCATCATCAGCCAATGATTTCATCAAATGTCCAGTCTTCTCAAGCCATTGGGCAAAGTTTACATCGACCAATAGAATCAGGTTTAAGCTCACATGATGTACTGTCTTCTTCGGCCATTGGGCAAGATCATCAGCCACTGAAAGCAAGTTTGATTTCGCCTAATGTCCAGTCTTCTTCAGCCATTGGGCAAGATATACATCAACCAATAGAATCAGGTTTAAGTTCACACAATGTCCTGACTTCCTCGGCCATTGGGCAAGATCATCAGCCACTGAAAGCAAGTTTTATTTCACCTAATGTCCAGTCTTCTTCAGCCATTGGACAAGATTTACATCGACCAATAGAATCAGGTTTAAGTTCACACAATATCCTGACTTCTTCGGCCAATGGGCAAGATCATCAGCCACTGAAAGCAAGTTTGATTTCGCCTAATGTCCAGTCTTCTCAAGCCATTGGGCAAGATTTACATCAACCAATAGAATCAGGTTTAAGTTCACACAATGTCCTGACTTCTTCGGCCATTGGGCAAGATCATCAGCCACTGAAAGCAAGTTTGATTTCGCCTAATGTCCAGTCTTCTCAAGCCATTGGGCAAGATTTACATCGACCAATAGAATCAGGTTTAAGTTCACACAATGTCCTGACTTCTTCGGCCATTGGGCAAGATCATCAGCCACGTAAAGCAAGTTTGATTTCGCCTAATGTCCAGTCTTCTCCAGCCATTGGACAAGATTTACATCGACCAATAGAATCAGGTTTGAGTTCACACAATGTCTTAACTTCTCCAGCCATTTGGCAAGACCATCAGCCAATGAAAGCAAGTTTTATTTCACCTAATGTCCAGTTTTCTCCAGCCATTGGTCAAGCTTTACATCAATCAATAAAATCAAGTTTGAGTATACATGATGTCAAGTCATGTCCAGCCTCTGGGCAAGATTTACATCAACCAATAGCATCAGATTCCAGTTCACATGATACCAAGTATTCTTCAGCTGTTGAGCAAGATCAAAGTCAGTCTTTGGAATCAAGTTTGTGTTTATGTGATGTCAAGTCTCCTGCAATTGTTGAGCAAGGTTTACACCAACCAATGGAATCAGACTTGAGTTTACCTGATATCCAGTTGCCTCCATCCATTGAGCACTGTCCAATGGATCAGTCGGATGAGCAGAGTGGTCAAACTGGTTTTCAGTTGTCAGATTTTTCAGTCAATGCTCATGACCAGTCTCACAAGAAGTCTCCAGACCATCTAACTAGCGACCAATCTGATTGTCAATTTTTATATCAGACAGTTGCTTGTCAACTCAAGCCAACTCATTCAAATTGTGAACAATATGTTATTTTCTACAAAACCTTTGATTGTTTACTGAAGACTGTGAGTCGTAAGATAGATGGCTTGGATCCTGATAAACACACAGTAGATTACCTGATATGTTTGTTATCCAAAGTGGATCCATTGACGGAAGATTGTGAAGTTCAGATTTATACAGCAGAGGGTATTCCTATCACATGTGATGTGTTCCTCAATAAATGTAAGTACCCGGTACTCCCCCACTCACGGTTGTCAGTGCTCCCCCACTCACGGTTGTCAGTGCTCCCCCACTCACGGTTGTCATTACCCCATCCCCCAAAAAGGTTGTCAGTACTCCCCTTTACTTGGTTGTCATTACTCCACCACTCGCGGTTGTCGGTAACACCCCTTCCCCCATTCACAGTATACACTCTCTTTTACAGTGGTAAGTACTACTTGACCTTATCCAGGTTTTAAAACGTGACATTTCTTGATGAATACATCAATTTCGGTGATCTCTATCACAGATCTAAACACTTTCTACCACTGAAAATTTCAACAAATTATGAATCTCAATCTTTTTTTCACATAAACAAAACTACTTAGTTATTTAGGAAGTAATTTAATTGATATCTCAAGAACCAATTCACAGATTTCAATCGAACTTAATACATGTACATAGATGTTCTGTGATAACACACAATTCATGATGAATAGTAACAAGCCTGATTTTCACATGAACCACCAAACAGATTTTAATAAAACTTGAACAATAAAGAGTGCTTCTGAAATAATCCACAGACCTTAGTATTATTATTAATTTATGTTATTAATTAATATTATTTCTTAATTACCTAATTTGCACAAGTTAGGCAGTTTTCTATCTCAATAACCACACTTTATTTTTCAATTGTGCTCTTAAATGAATCAGACTGAAAACCACAATCAAATTTATTTCTTTTTTTGATTTGATATTATAATGTTTTATGTTTCACAGGGACTCTAAAGAAACGTAAAATTGAGTCTGGATCAGTTTTATTTGTGATCTTTACTAAGACTGGTTTACGAGACATGACACTAATTACTGAGGAGAAGCTAGACCATGAGGTTGGAATGGCGATACTATATGTCCATATCATGATGGGTGACACATACAAAGTACATGTAGACTTGGCAAATGACACAGTATTGGTAATGTTCAGTTTCTATTACTTTCCATCGGTCAATCAATACATGCAATTTATTACTACATGTATATTAATATCAGTAACATAATTGCTCTAGTTTATGTAATAAATATTATTTGAACGCCATCGTTTATTCTGCCAACATTTTTTTTCAATTGCTTTTGTTTATTTTGGTTCAAATATAATTTAAAATAGGCTTCAGATTATCATTGTCAACTTCTAAGCTTTACTGTCATCGAGGAAGACAGCTTTTATACTTGGTATGTATGTACATTGGGTGGACCTCCGTCAGATTAGTTCATTTTGTGTTGATGTCTTCAATTCTTTATTTTTAGCAAATATTTTTGGTAAAAAATTATATTCTCCACTTTTTCTTAAAAGTTACCAGTCTAATTGCTTTTATATGTTCTATGTAGTTACCTTGGGTGGACTCCTATCAGATTAGTTCCTTTTTCCGACGATAGGGAAACACTCTACTACAGTGATTCACAGACATACTGTAAAACATGTTGAAAAAGTGACATGCAATTTTAGCAAATTGTGGTAAAATGACGTAATAGCGAAATGTTGATTTAGCTTGACTGCCGCGTGCCAAAACAAACCATAAAAACAAGGAAAAATTGTCAAGTGTAATCAGGAAGCGCTCCAGATTTTTATGTTCCGGATTATACAAATCACCAAGCCTTGATAAACACTTGTCTTTTCTGTATAAAACATGATCAATTTTCTGGTTGGTTTTATTATTGAATGTGACATCTTGATGTTCACATCATGCTTCAGTATAATACATATCATAAAGAACCTAAACAGTCATGGTTACCTGAATCAAATTCTGAGAAAGAGCTGCAAATTTTGCATGCATGAATGCCGCTGTCACTCTATTTTCGCTGTAGGAATGGTTCAGTGAAAATAAAATCCAGCGAATATACTTTTTTTCCTATATTTTACATTCAACTCGTCAAAAATCAGTGAAAATAAATTCCATACAAAACATCCAAAAAGTCTTTTTAGCGAAAATTAATTCCAGTTAAAATAAAGTATTTTACAGTATAACCTAATGCATATTATTCATTAAAATAACAAATAATTTATTTAATATGAGTACAAAAAAAAGGGACTGTGAGAAAGAATGAATGTTTCTTATCTTTTACATTAGACTCTAAAACGAAAGATCTACTCGGCCACTGGTATTGAGACAAGCTGTCAAAGGCTCAGGTATTTATATTCAACATAGTGATAATATGAGGTTATTACGAGAATACCTCAAATATGCACGAAGACAACAGTACAGCTGGAGTATCGTCAATGCATGGCGTACTGTCTGAGTGCATACTTTGAGGTATTCTCATAATAACCCTATTATTATATGTCTTTTCCTTCCAAGGATACATCATGGGAATGCTGAAATCTAAAAGTTTAGAACAGAATCAGCGAACTTCTTTGTGTAGAGTCCGATCAAACCCTGGTGGCAGCCATGTTTGTTTTTATTATTAGAGGATGCTTTCGCGCATAATCATTCCATATTTGGAATTTGCATTTTCTTATATGGTAGGAAAAAAATACCCTGTAAAATACCACAAAATTATGGCACGCTGTAACTTATGGCGTTACGGTGACAGATGTATAATATACAGTGCTAACACCAAATACAAGTTTTCAAATACAACAGTTTTCGTAATATGAGTCTAAATCAGACAACCAAATTAGAAAGGTATAGTGTGTGAAATATTAAACCATCGAAGGAACAGTAGAATACAGACATGCATAGCTTATTTTTTCGTTAAAAATCTTGTCTAACTTGTCACATGCACAACTACTAGTCAGTGACTGATTTCAGTAAACATGTACTGCGAATGAAAAGTACTGATATAGTGGTAACATACTTTATTTACCCTTCTCAAACTCATTCAAAATAATGTCTAATTTCTTTGCTAGATTGGATGATTGTAGTTGGAAAAACTCGGATGATGACAGTCTTGATAAACACGGGGTTGTTGATGGTCAGACAATAATGGTGGCACTTTCATCGCTGACATGTGATAACTATGTCAGTAAGAGTCGCCAATTTGATGCTGATATCAACACATACACGGAACAAACACTGACTGGACTGGCTGTATTTTACTCAGTTTTGAATGTAGTTGTAAGTATACTTCAGCTTGTTTTGCTTAAAAACTCGTGCAAAAGTTTTGTAATTGTTTTAGTCAAAATTGCACTTTGCAGCAATGATGCTTTTTTGAGTTGGACCATATGCATTCTAGAATCTCAGTTATTTTATGAAACCTGATTATGACATCATATATGAAATCAAAGTACCAAAATTGACAACATGATTCTACTTGCCATATAAAGTCATTGGATAGTTTTGTTGAATAAACAACTCAGTTCTATTTGCCATGACCATCATGCGAAATCATGAATTCATTAAATATTGGAAAATCAAGAATTTTAGTAGTATTGAAAATTTAATCATGATAACAGTAGTCAGAGTGATTATAGTATTCTGTTCTCTGTGCTGAATGAATCACACTACCAGGTAGCTCAAGTAACAATCTCATATTTAATAAGCCATATTTTGATGATCGATTATATATTAAATTGCATTTTATATAAGTTTTGGTGCATGTGTGCTTCTATTAAACTCTAGTAATACATGTTTTATACATTTAGATTAGTCATAACCACTCAAAGATAAACAATAAGAATGTTCTTGGCTTTGTACGAAAACTCACTGCATTTCCACCGCTTGTTGCAAGTTTGGATCTGCAGTTACACCAACGAAATATGAACTTTGCACAAAAGGTATGTATTATTACATCAACTTCTTTACACAGAATCAGTGTCCACTGATCAGGTCTGAAGGGAAGGGTTTGGGAAAGTGGTAAGGTCTAAAAGGTAAGTGGTTAATGAATAAACCCTGTTCAGACAGATAAATATGATATATAGTAGATAATATCTTCTATACGTTTAAACATTTACTTATATTCTATCGATAAAGAGCCATTGCTCGAAACATCTACCTATTTTTAATAGTTATTTAGGACTAAGCTTACCGAGTATTATCTACTACAGGTATATATCATATTAAAATGAAGGTGTTTGGGGGATGTGACTGGAAGCCAGATTGTTTAGGGAAGTGATCAGGTCTGAAAAGCAAGTGGTTGGTGAAATGATTTGGTCTTGACGGCTAGTGGTTGGGGGCAGGTGATCAGGTCTTGAAGGCCAGTAGTTTGGGGAGGTGATCAGGTCTTGAAGGCCAGTGGTTTGGGGAGGTGATCAGGTCTTGAAGGCCAGTAGTTTGGGGAGGTGATCAGGTCTTGTAGGCCAGTGGTTTGGGGAGGTGATCAGGTCTTCTAGGCCAGTGGTTTGGGGAGGTGATCATGGAAGTAGTGGAAGGAAGTGATCAGGTCTAAGGGGGAGTGGTCAGTTATTTGACCAGGTCTGGAAGGGAAGTGGTTAGGGAAGTTATCAGGTTTGAAAGGAAGTGGTTTGGGGAAGTGATCAGGTCTGGATGGCTGTGGAAGTCTAGGCAAGTTGATGGAATTGATGCTTATGAATTTGGTTCAAAATGATGCTAAAAAGGTTTTTTCACAATCTTTATCATTCCCATATTTGTCACAGGTGTGTTTGGTTGAAGGATTATACTTCCTGTTCAGACGGTTACTACCAAAGCCTGGAACCGGTATTGTATTCTCTGTGTACATTTATCAGTGGTTTAGAAATTCGAATATAAATTTCAATTATTGTTTTCCATGATACAGCTGATGAGGTTTATATATATTATAAATGTTAGTTGTTGGCAGTGCTGAACTATGTTACAACACAATGTGTCTAACTAATCCTCTTGTTCGTTTCCATAGATGGTAAAGATGGTGTATTGGATAAGTGTGTATTTGAACACTCTGCATCTTGCTGGGCATATATACTAACCAATGCAAATGTATGGTATCATCTATTCTGCTATCATTTCCTATTATCAAAAAATGTGACTTAATGTTTCCATTATTTTCCATTCAGTTATCCATAATTTCCTAAATCTCAGAAAATATGGCTCAATGTTTCCATTATCATCTATTCAGTTATCCATACTTTCCTTATATTCAGAAAATGTTGCTCAATGTTTCCATTATCATCTACAGTAAAACCTGTCAAAACCGACCCCTGGATAATGCGTCAGAACCAACCGATTTATGTAGTCCCGAAATTTCTCCATAGACGCCTATGTTAAATCAACCTGTTAAATCCGACCACTGTCTACTCCGAACACCGACTGCATTGATCGGTCCCAAGTCCAATATTCACACTGAATACATCGACCATCCGACCAGTTGCACCACATCCGCTATCTTGTAAACCGGTCTGTACGACCTAAAAAGTGTGCATTGTGTTAAATTTACTGTGAACGTCACAGAAACGATAACAAATCTCACACTACAAGTAACGTCTCGTGTAAAACAATAGCAACTGATTAAGTTTTTCACACCACACGCCCTCGCATCGCGTGATGTCTGGACAGTGTAATGACCCCGGATATAAACAAATAATCAGGGTCATTAACTTCAATTACGGTGAAGCACACTGCATTATCACTTCTTCAATGATCAAAACATTGAGTTTTCTTCTTTCCATAACGATTCTGATCGACAATTTTGTGCTTTCGAATGTTTCCGTAAAGGGGGCTTCAAGACTGAAATTTATGATGACGAAGAAGCAGACGACAACGACAAGAATTCAGAAATCTTATTTAGTATGTTGCAGACCCACAAACACAGTGTAGCGTTGATGAATACCTCTACTTTGATGAACGTATACCGACTGAAGCAATGTATGACGGCGAGCAAGAGCAACAGATTGTTGAGAAGTTTCTTGCAGACAAAGAAAACCATGAATCTACGGACAACGATGACATAAATTGCAATGACAGTCAAATTATTGACCCCACAACGACTGTGACTTGACGCATGGAAACAATACAATAAATGTAAATACATGTATAATCACCGGAGACAAACTCTGGTGTCTTTCATTTGTCCCGTGTTTACAGCATGTGTAATTGTTGTTTCAACCGAAGTCACGCCCACTCTGAATAAACCGACTCTCCTCTGAAAACCGACCATAGATC